CAAGTATCAGAGCTGGGATTCTAACTTTGGTTTTTGTTACAAGGTCCATACTCTTGTATGGTCTTCTATGGTCCATTCCCTTTACATGAATTCAGATGCATACTCATATACTCAAGACATTTCCACCCCTGCAAAAATAGATTATTCAGTGTTTTTGGCTCTCAACAGCAAAGCTATATTTTAGGAAGGGGGTTTCCTTTATCTTTTAAAAGTTTATTCATTTTATTTTATTTTTAAATAATTTTACTTATTTATTTTTTTCCCCCTAAAGCTCCAGTAGATAGTTGTATGTCATAGCTGCACATCCTTCTAGTTGCTGTATGTAGGACGCAGCCTCAGCATGGCCGGAGAAGCGGTGTGTTGGTGCGCGCCCGGGATCCAAACCCGGGCCGCCAGCAGCGGAGCGTGCGCACCCAACCACTAAGCCACGGGGCCGGCCCCAAGTTTATTCATTTTAGAATGAACTTAGACCCTTACCTAATATTATATATAAAAATTAACTCAAAATGGATCAAACACCTAAATATAAGAGCTAAAACTATAAAATTCTTAGAAGAAAACACAGGGCAAAAGTTTCATAATATTAGATTTGGCAATGATTTCTTGGATATGACACCAAAGGCACAGGCAACAAAAGAAAACAGACAAATTGGAGCTCATGAAAATTAAAAACTTTTGTGCATCAGAGGATGCAATCAACAGAGTAAAAAGGCAACCTACAGAATGGGAGAACACATTTGCAAATCATCTATCTGGTAAGGGATTAATATCCAGAATATATAGAGAACTCCTAAAACTCAATAACAACAAGAAACCCAATTCAAAAATGGGCAAGGGACTTGAATAGACATTTCTCCAAAGAAGATATACAAATGGCCAATAAGCACATGAAAAGATGCTCAACATCACTAATCATTAGGGAATTGCAAATCAAAACCACAATGAGATACCACTTCATACTCATTAGGATGTTTATTACTTTTAAAAATGGAAAATAAGTGTTGGTGAGGATTTGCAGAAATTGGATCTCTTGTGCACTGTTGGTGGGAATGTAGAATGGAAGTTCCTCAAAAATTAAAAAATAGAACTACCATATGATACAGCAATTCCACTTCTGGGTATATACCCAAAAGAATGGAAAGCAGGGTCTTGAAGAGATATTTGTACACCTATGTTTGCAGCAGCCTTATTCACAATAGCCAAAAGGTAGAAGCAGCCTAAGTGTCCATTGATGAATGAATGGATAAGCAAAACATGGTGTACATATAATGGAATATTCTTCAGCCTTTAAAAGGAAGGAAATTTGGGCACATGCTACAACAAGGATGAACCTTGAGGACATTATGCTAAGTGAAATAAGCCAGTCACAAAAAGATAAATACTATATGATTCCATTTATATGAGGTAACCTAGAGTAGTAAAATTCATAGAGACAGAGGTATAGTGGTGGTAGCCAGGGGCTGTGGGGGAGGGGGAAATGAATTATTGTTTAATGGGTATAGAGTTTCAGTTTTGCAAGATGAAAAGAGTTCTGGGGATGGATGGTAGTACAATAATATCTATGTACTTAATACCACTGAACTGTAAAACTGCTTTTACAGTTTTACACTTAATATCACTGAATTGTAAAAATGCTTAAGATGGTAAATTTTATGTTATGTGCATTTTACTACAATTTAAAAAATTAACTCAAAATTCATTCATTCATTTACTCATTCATTTTGCAATGTTCCAGGCACTTTGCTAAAGGCGAGGGATACAATTGTAAACAAGACCCTGTGCATGCCTGCAAGGAACTTACAGGCTAGTGGGGCCGTCAGACAGATAAACAGAGTTAGACCCAGGGCTGTGGGAGCCCGTCAGAGGGGCACCTAAGTTCTCCATGTATGTCAGACTCAGCATACATATAAGAAATAACAGAAGTGGACAAAGCAATAAATGCTACAAGATCTATGCCTTTGATCGGAAAGCTCTCTCCTAGGCAGAGCTGGACATGGTGAGTCTGTTACTACCCAAGTGGTTTGGTTCAGAGGCCAGAAAATGATTTGCTGGGAATATTACTGAGGATATTTATATGTTATTTAAAACATGTGAGCATCATCCTTCTCGTCTCTCACTACTCCTTCCAAACAGAATCTTTCCAAGGGCTATTGATTTCATTACTATTCTGTTCACTCAGCCCCCACTTCCAGTACTCTTGCCTGGGTTTCGACAACAGCCTCCCTTCCCTACGACCAGAGTCCGCTCCACTAATTCATTCTCTACACTGTAGTCAGTCATCCCTACTTACAACACTTTGGCAGCTCCACATTACCCTCAGAATTCTCCAGACTCCTTAATGTGGTGTCTTAGTCAGCTTGGGCTGCCATAACAAAGTACCATAGATCTGGTGGCTTAAACAATGGGAATTTATTTCTCACTATTCTGGAGGCTGGGAAGTCCCAGATCAAGGCACCAGTTGATTTGGCTGCTTGGTGGGAGCCCTCTTCCTGACTTGCAGACAAACTTCTCACTGTGTCCTCACATGGGAGAGTGGTGGGGGGAGGGGGTGGAGGAGGCTCTAGTTTCTCTTCCTCTTCTTATAAGGATACTAATCCTATCGTGGGGACCCCACCCTCACGACCTCAACTAAACCTAATAACCTACCAAAGGTCCAACCTCCTAATACCATCACATTGGGGGTTGGCCCTTCAACATATGAATTTTGGGGGGACACCAACATTCAGTCCATAATGTGTTGCTTCTACAGCCTTTCAGTGCCCCTGTTTTCATCCCATCTCTCTCACTGCTTCTCTTGCGGTCTGCAACCCAGCCATATTGACAGCTGTTGATAGTTGAATGCCCCGTGTTCTTGCCTTGTTTCTAGGCCTTTGCACAAGCCATTCCCTCTGCCTAGAATGACTTTCACCTCCCTCTTTTACCTGGATAACTCCTATTTGTCCTTGGAGAAAGGTGTCTTTCTCCAAGAAGCTTCCTGGCCCCCAAACCAGGTCAGGTGTGCTTCATCTGTGTTCCTGCTCTTGAGTGCCTTGTGCATATCTCTTTTGTGGTTTTTATCACTCTGTATGGTTTATTTGTCTTTCCTGCCCCACCATCCTCCACCCTAATGAATTCAATGAAGGCAGGAGTGGCCTTGTTCACCTCAGCACCTATTATAACATGTGGCTTATACTGTATGTACAATGCATATTTTAGTTGTTTAGCACTCTGCTAAAGTTCAAAGTTAATTTGTCCTGACACAAATTAACTCATCTATGGAGATATAATTATATTTCCTTACTTAACATTCATTCCTCCTGAATAAAATATTCCTTTAAAAATATCACCTTTACTTACAAGATTTCTGTGAAGTCATTTATCCATTACATCATTCATGTGACTGAGTCAGGGCCCAAACTATCTCATTTTCGTCTGAGATACTAGAAGAGTCTGAGAAAAAGCAGACTTCTGTTGAATGACTTGATGGAGGTAGGTGTCTGTGGGTGTGCGGTCGGGGAATGGGCGCACAGAACTAAGCAGCCAGCTTCCCTGTGTGGGCCTCAGCTGGTGATCTGACCTTCTCGTGAGGTTGCATCCCTGGGTGCCTGGTGGCAGAAATTGGGGCCAGGACTAGCAAGAGAACACATGTGGCTTGGAGGAAGCTCTCTCTTAGTTGTTGGAATCACAGAACTTTAGAGTTGTAGGTCATTCGGTTCAACCTCCGCCTTTAAGAAGTGGGGAAAGAGATCTAGTATTTTGCCCAGAAAACCTCAGAAAACCTCTCACCACTCTTATTTTCCCTTCTCCAAAAGCCTAAACTTGGAGGTCACCAGGCTTCTGACCCCAACCAAAACATCTCTTAGAAGCGTTTATCCCTCTCTTTCAGCAGCAGCATCTGAATAGTATGCTCTGGGTAGAAGATGTGTTAATGTTGCTATATAGAAATTCATGGAGGACATAGTGCTTGGCCTCTTAGGAACTTACACACTGAGACCAGGAGTTTAAGAATGATTTGCACTTGTCAGTCAAGTCAAAAGAAAGAGGAAATTTTAAATATGGGTTTTATTTGAAAGCAAACCAGACATTAAATCAAAATAAATTTTATTGTTTTGCTTTTGTTCGGACTTTCCAGGTTTATATGTAGATTATCTCAAATTATAAATTTAACTTAGGAAGTGCTGAGGGTTGAGTGGATATTTGCTTTTTCCCAGGGTACAGAGGAGTCAGGGCGGGGAAGGAGGGATGACATTGCTGAGCATTCTTGCCAGGTGGGGAGTGTTGTTTCCACTTATCTGTTAGGACGCTGAGGTGCAAGGATTCCCCGTGGTGAGGTTGCTGGTAAGGTGGGGTGAGGTTTGAACCCAGCTCTGTCATCAGAGCCACACATGCTGCTAAGAAGCAGAAAAAGACACTGGCATTCTGGTCCCCATTATCAACCTGAAAGATGTCCAGTCTTTTTTTTTTTTGTGAGGAAGATTGGACCTGAGCTAACATCTGCCAATCCTCCTCTTTTTGCTGAGGAAGACTGGCCCTGGGCTAACATTCATGCCCATCTTCCTCTACTTTATATGGGATGCCACCACAGCATGGCTTGACAAGCGGTGCGTCGGTGCACGCCCGGGATCCGAACCGGCGAACCCCGGGCCGCTGCAGCGGAGAGCGCGCACTTAACTGCTTGTGCCACCGGGCCAGCCCCAAGACGTCCAGTCTTAAGTTCAGAAGGGAGTCATCTGGTTCGAGCCTGCCTTGTACAGACAGAGGAGCCAAAGCCCTGAAAGGCAGAGCAACCAGCCTGTGAGGAGGCAGAAGGCAGTGTGGGCGTGTGGGGCCAGATCTGGCCCAGCCCTGACAAACAGGAAGCCTGAAGTGAGAAAGGGAAGTTCTGTCCAAGAAAGAGAAGGCAGAAAAGTAGCTGTTCTTATTCCCACACTGAAGGTGTGGATTCCCTCGAGTCATAATAATTTTCCAAAAGCTCCGAGTCCTACTACTTGAGGCTCTCAGCCTGGCATTTCTGTCTTTTACCCCAAGCCCCACACCATTCAGGGTGCCTCACAGTCCAGCCAAGGAGTGGGGACTGCGTGGGAGTGGGGATCCTGTGGCATCCTCTGTCACCCCCGGCCCCCGAGTCCCTGGTTCCTTTGGTCTCACCTCCAGACAACTGTGTCTTTCAAAAACTTCTTCCCTGGCAGTTCCTCACTGTCCTGACAAAGTCCTTCCCAAGGCACTGCCCTTACGTTTACATTCATACGAGCTTTTGCTTTTATAAAGTGCTTTCTCCTAGCTTCAAACTTGATCCTCATAAACCCCGGTGAGGTAGGAGGGAAGGGATTATTACTCCCATTTTACAGGAAAGGAGACTGAGGCTGCCCTTTTTATTCTCCAGAGTCCTCAGGGAACATTTACAAGTCTCTGCCTCACACTGGCCCAGCAGTGCTCCTTTGGCACAGGTTCTAGGTTTTCTCTTTTTTTCCTCACATTTCCTAGAATCCCACAGAATTCTACACAGTAGACACATTACACATGTGGCTGATGATCCACGGTTAATTGAAGGTGTCACAGCTTGTGTTCTTTGGCAGTGTCCCTCTGGACTCCTTAGCTGATTTCCAAGTGTGTCGTGTACCACTCCTGTCCCATGCTTGCAGCCTTTCCTGTTTATAATTCATCGGCTAATCAGATTTTTCAGGGGACATAAGTTTGCAAACTTCCATTTTATCCAAATGGATCTGTTTTGGTTTATTTTCTCTTGCCTAAATGTTAGGCATCCAATCTAATGGGTTTCAAAAATTAATATAATTTATTTTCCATCCTGTCAGTGCAAAACAAAGGTGTTCTTAAGACAACGCACTGAAGACCAGAATCCTTCCTCCTCTTCTGCTCTATTGCTTGAGTCAGCAGCAAGTAAACCGTGCTGTAAACATGTGTGGGTCTGTGTCCATGTGTGCATGGACCCACCCACTGTTCCATTCTTAACTGGTTTTGTTCCAGTTAGGTACCAAGTAGCCTTGTCTTATTCAAAATGGAGATTCCCGTGGCATCTGGACTTTCATCAAGGCCCGTTTCAGCTGCTCATAGGTTACGAACATCACCACATTCCAGGATCCCAAACGCAAAAAGGAGGGTGTAAACCTGATGAGAGAAACAACCAAGACATCAGGTGGGGTGGACTAAGGGTCTCATATAGATCTGCTGTGCTCTCCCCGGGGATTCACGGTGTTAGTGCCCAAGGACCTGGACTTCCGTTAGTCACGAGCATTTTCTGAGACCTGTTCAGTCTTGTTCTTTGCTGAAGGAATTCAGGCAGAAGTTGGAATCAGAAAAGGAAAGAAAGCTGACATTTTGAGCCAGGTTATTGTGTCAGGCAGTTAATTCTCACAGTCCTATAAGGTAGTTATGGTTGTTGACAGTTTTCTTTTTCAGAAACTGAGGCCCAGGCAGGTCAAGCAGCTCAACCACAACTGCACAGTTAGTAAATGTCAGAGAGGACTCCGCCCTGCTGCGGGGGGTTTCCGGGCTCATTTCCATCCTGAGTAGCCACCCCTGAGGAGGCCCCCTGCCAGGGCACCAAGAAGCTGGGGCACTGCAGGGGGAAGACAGTGTGACACCAAAGTTAGCTAATCTCCAGAGAGCCTGCCTGTCCTGTGATAGTGCAGCTGGGAGAGTCTCCACCTCAGCTGTGCTCCACAGACTCAGGGAGGATCCACCACTGGGTCCCTGCCCTCCTCTTCTGCCTCTCTCTCCACTAATCCCTTCCTGGTCCTCTCTGGTCCTGCCAACCCTTCCTTCTGTGCCTTTGCCCCTGCTGCTCCTTCTGCTTGGAAAGTCCCCTGCTCTCCTCCTTGCCTGGCTGGTTGCTCTCGGCTCTGTAGGACTCAGCTTGGGTACCATAACCTTGTGCCAAGTCCTTTCCTGACCCCTCAGCCCAGGCGCCTCACAGGGAGTATAGCACTGTGGCAATGAATGTGAGCTCCGGAGTCAGAACTGGGTTCAAATCCTACCTCTACCAGTTTCTAGCTTCATGACCTCAGACAAGTTAATCTTTCTGAGCTCAGTTTCCTTACCTGTAAAATGAGGAAAATAACAGCATCTACTTCATAGAGTTGTCATGAGGATTAAATGAGTTAATGTTGAGCACACAGCACAGGGCCCAGTATTAGTAAACGCTCAATAAATGTCACCTACTTGTCTGCTGCAATTTGAGGGAAGCACAGCATAGGCCCAGCACCATGAGATGCTCAGTAAATGTTTGCCAAGTGAAAGAATAAACTGTGACAAGTGGCTACAGCTGCAGATTGTAATGATAGAGGCACTTATAGGAAAAGAGCAGTCTGTCAGTTGAAACACAGCTTTTTATGTCATTCCCAGGGTGAGAGCCTGTTTGCTTGTTGGGTCCAATCTAACACTGGGTGCCAGCAAACTATCATTGGTGGTGGGAGGCGAGAGGGCAAAGCAGTGAGCTTAGTAGTAGCCTGGACAACAACATGTTGTTGCGTGGTGTCTGATGGTCTGGGTTTGAGCCGTGGCTCTGCCATTTGAACATTGTGATCTTGGACAAGTTACTTGACCTTTCTGAGTCTCAGTCTCTTCCTCAGTAAATGTGGAGAATACTGCCCAGTTCAGGGGGTTGTTGCAATAATATATGTCAAGCGCTTAGCACAAGGCCTAATAATAGCGACTTAGCAATCATGACGATTATTAATAACCTACGTCATTGAGTGCTGGCTTTGTCCTAGGGACTCTGGGAGATGAAAGATGTTTAAGCCACCAGTACTTGGCATCAAGGAGCTTACACTCTAGTATGGGGGATAATTTAAACCTACAAATACCGTAACAAAGTAGGAGGTGGTAAATACCATAAAAATGGTATCAAGGAAGTATTGCTGAAGCTTACAGGGAGCAGGGAAAATTTATATATGAGAGTGTTGGGCAGGAGGGGGTATTTGAACGAGTCTTGAAGGATGGCTAAGATTTAGAGCGTGTAGTTGGTGCGGAAAAGGCATTCTAGGCAGGTGGAACAGTAAATGCCAAGACACAGAAGCAAGAAAACATGACACGTGTTGGCCACTTCAGCTGCCGTCATGGGTGACATATGGTTGTGGCAGTGGGTTGGGGAAAAGTCTCAGAATTACCAATCACCTTTTCCTCCTTCTCCTCTGCCCAAAAGGTTTGGGGATAGACAGAACTTTGACCTATGCCTAGACTCCTTTTTTTCAGGTAAGCCTTCCCTGACTCTCCAATTCAGATTTGGTCCACTCTTTTTCTTAACTTTCATAGCTCTTTATACTTCTCTTTTGTGGCATTTACATCTGTGCTGTTCACCACTGCATCCCCAGATGGGCCCATGGTAGGCACATTATACGTGAAAGGAAGGGAGGGTGGGGGGCCTGAGCTCTCTGGGAGGGAGTGCTGCAGGCAGCAGGGGGAGGCTCACCCCTTATAGAAGGCCGTGGGACCCTCATGGGCCACCATCTTCAGCATACAGTCAAGGGGGCTGTGGTACTGGCCTGGGGGTGAGTTCATATACCGGGTCTTCACCACGTCCACTGGGGAGGCCACCACTGTGGCACAGAAGCCGGCTCCAAAGGCAGAGACAAAGTGGCAGGGGAAGTTGTCTGTAGAGGGAAGGGAAGAGCAAATACTGGGCTGTGAGAGAGGGAGCGCACTCGCTGTCTCTTCCATGTGTGTTCATTGTCTGCCTCTAACTAAACTGTGAACACCTTGAGCATAAGGATAGTGTTTTCCAAATCTCTCACAGTGCCCAGGCAGAGCTCTTGGTAAGTACTTGAAACAGAACTGGGCCATCCCAGAGTTGGAAGGTTATCCAGTCTAACCACCTTGTTTGAGGAAATAGGTCAGAGAAAGTGACCCTCGCTTAAAGGTGCACGGTGAGAAGCGGTGCTGGGCAGGAACCCAGGTCTCCAGGGTTCTTTCCTACTTGTCACAATGTTGTACCGCGCACTTTTTGCAGGGCACTACTTCTCCCTCTGTTCCTTTTAAAGCCCAGTTGCCTCTGGGTGGTGCCTACTCTGTGGAGTTCTGTGGGAGGGCTGTGTGCCTGGAGCCCAGGGCCTCACCGGTGAACAGGTGATAGTCTAGCAGCTTCTCCTTGATGATGTCATAGGTCACCATCTCACCACAGTTGACAATGGCATTCCTTGTGATGTTGGGCAAAGTTCCTGTTAGGAAGGGAGGTGGGGGTGACGAATGGGGAATAGGAGCAGTGGACCCTGTGGCTGCAAGGCTGCAGGCCCCAGTTTGGGGAGCACAGTGCCCCATTCCGTTGGTCTCAGAGGAGCCCACCTCCGTTGAGCAGACTCCACACTTTCCTTTCTGATATTAACAGCTCGCAGATTATCCATGACTGCCTTAGAGATAGAAAACAGAGAGGCCCTCTTGTGTTTGTTTGGGCCATATTTTGGAGGACAATCTGCAATATCTATCAAAATTAAAATATGCCTCCCTGAGACCTGGCCAGAGCCAGAAAAGAAAATCTTCTTTGGAAGAAGTCTGGGTTCTTGGAACAGTGACAGAATGTAGCCCTGGCCGGGCCCGAGGAGAGCATCAAAACTAACCCCCTGGTTTCACAGACGAGGGCCAGGCTCCAGGAGGGCACACAGTAAGTAAGGCTGTGTCCTGCCCTTAACCTTCACTGGGTCACTGTTTCTTCTGCAAGAATTCATGTGACCCCTGGTCCACACGTGGGAGAGACTCCAGCATTTGTCGAGGTGGCCACCATTTAGACATGTATGGAACCCTAAAGCCTTGCTCCCATGGAAGCCCCCTCCTCACAGCATCTCCCTGTGCCCCACTTCTCACAGCTGCCTCCTCCAGTGCCCTTTGTCTCTTCTCCATGCCCTGCAGTTACTGCTCTTAAATCTTTGCTTGGAAGGCCCTTCCCTCCCATCTCCACACACTGAGAACCCACGGAGCCTTTGAGGCCCAGCTTAAGCGCCACCTTCCCTCCAGAGCCCACATGGCCTCTCCCCCCTCTGGATCTGTACCTCTCCATGAACCTACCACACCCTGCCCTGTGGTATGGCTGCTCCTTGACACTTATCTCCTCTGTGTGTCTGTGAGAGCCATGAGGTTGTGGAATGCGTCTTCTATTCATTTCTGTCGCCCTCACAGCAGCCTGCACATGGTGAGGGGTTGGCAAATTGAGCTGTATTTGGAGCACTGTGGCAGGTCAGTGAGATTTTTGGTTGGGATGTTCTTTTAGAATCACTAGAATACATCATGCTGGGAGTTCTCTCCTTGCTCAGTTCCCTGCCCCAGCCCTAGGGTAGGAAAAGCTCTGCAGAAGGCCCATTGAGCCTGGAGTCCAGACCTACCTTTCCATAGGCCCCTGACCCCTTCCTCCCTGGCGATGGTCCTGTAGGCATCCATTGTCCCACTGTACTTCCTATTGCTCCTGGGCCCAAGGTGCACGCTGGCCTGAAATCGGACCTTCACCACATCCGTGGGCTGGGCACAGGTTACTGCCATGGCCCCCGTAGTGCAGCCTGCCAAAATCCGGGTAGTGACGCTGGAGTCTGGGGAGAAGAAGAGAGAATGGCCCAGTGCCAAGCCACCCAACCCCTCTCTGGGCCTGATGCTGTTCTCTGCCCCTGCCTGATGTCTGCTGCTTCTCCTGGGTTAGGGTTCTGGAGCTTCCTTGATGGCTAGAAGCTCTGAGTTTCCTCATGAGCTCTGTTACCAGTTTCTCATGCCCCAGCTCTGCCTCTGAATCTGCACTGCCCTGGTCTCCTGACCCACATGCCTAGATTCTGCTTCTGCTCACCCCCTCAGTGTCCACGGGATACCGGGCACTCACGGTCCGATCCTTTGGGGGTGTAGAACTGCTTGACGGAGTCGTAGAGGCCGATGCGGATGGAGGCGAAGCCCATCTGTCGCTGCAGGCCGGCGACCAGCCCATTGTAGAGGCTGCGGGGGCCCTCCGTGCGCACCATGGTCAGGATGGTGCCCAGCACGCCGCGGTACTGGATACTGTGGGCCGCCTGGGCCACCTGATTCTCCCCCTGGACCTGAGGGACACCCCCGCAGAGGCGTGAGGAGCTGGGCGGAGGGCACATGGGACTGTGTGCAGAGGGACCTGCCTGGGGCTGGGCCTGCCAGGGCTGGACATCGAGAACAAGCATGACCACAGCTGTCAAATCCCAGTATGATTAACTCAGGTTTGCTCAGCAGTTTATGGCTCACAAACTGTTATACACCACGTGGCGTTTGATCCTCAGAGCAAACGGAGGGCATGTTGTTTTTCCCACTACAGGTGGTCAGTGGCTTGCCCCAGCTCATTTACTTTGACTTCATACTTTACGGTTTACAACGTAGGGCTAGGCCTTGAAGGGCCCTGTCATGTCACGCCAAGGAATTAAGATATTTTGTCTTGGGTGATGGTGATGGGCAGGCGGCAAGGCAGAATGGTAAGTAGTGGAGTGAGTGGCCTGCTCAGAGTTCTGTGTGAAGAAGAGCATGCTGTGGTGGAGAACTCAGCCCTTCCTTTGATGTGAGCAATGACCCTTGGCCAAAGGGCACCTACCTGCAGGCGGACCTTGGCCGTGTCCAGTGGAAAGGTGAAGAGGTCAGCAAAACAGGCTGCCATGCCTGCTGCCAGGAACTTCACAGCCGTTGTGGGAGGCACCTCCGAAGGCTTCAGTCCAACCATGGTCCCAGAAGGCTCTGCCCAGTCCCTCCAGGGCCCAGCAGAGGTCCAAGGAGAGAGGCTGCTCTGTGGCCCTGGGCTTTAGTGCAGAGAGGAGGCTTCAGAAGACAGGCCAGAGGACACAGATGGAACCTGTGCTATCTGGACCCATCCCCAGGCTCCCCTCAGCACTGGGAGGGGCTTTACTAAGTAAAAAGCCTGCGCATTACCATGCTTAGCCATGTGGATTTGGCTTATAAAAACAGGTCACTTTTCCATCCCTTCTCTCTTGCAATTCTCACCCTCCTCTGCAAGGAGCAGGCAGGGCTGGTGGTGAATCTTCATTGTACAGAGAAGGAAACCGAGGCTCAGGCAGAGACCAGACCTGGTTCCCTCAACCCCACAATGCTATTCTCCTTCCCCATCATCAAGCTGCTTCCTGAGAAAGTCTTGCTCCCTGAGGTGCACAGAGAGCCTGCCAAGTCTCATCACTTCAGGCTCTTCTATCCCAAATCAATGAAATCAACATGCCTCATGACTTAACTAAATTGCTAGTCATCTTGGATGAAAGCTTTTTTTTTTTTTGCAAGGCTGCCTGAACATACTGTTATTATACTTAAAATAAAAAAATCCTTCTCAGCCTGTGATTCCTTCTCTATCACTAAAGATGTTTAGTCTGTGACTAGAGCCGTTTCCTTCTAATGCTACGAGTTCTGGGCTGATGTCTGCCATGGAGGAGGGAGGGAGACTGGCCTTGGGCTGCCCGGCTGCTCTGCCGCCCAGGGCTCTGAGGGAGGTGGGGCTGAAGGGGGTCCTGCCACCGATGTCCAGGGTGGCATCCACTGATCTGCCTGGCTGGGCACTCATACTTTGAGGGTGTCCCTTCTCAGCTGAAGAGGACGAGCTTCTCAGACAGAGGAGGATCAGTCTTGGGTCAAGGGACTGTGCCCCCTCCCTCCTCACACACAGGTGTGCATCTTACTGTTGGCTGGCCAGGGGCACTTTCGCGTCTGAGGGCCCTGGTTTAGCCTTGGTTACCTTGGGAAGCTGGCACACATCTCATGGAAAGCCCTGTGTTCTTACAACCTGGGCCTCTGTGTATCAGCCTTTGGTGCTGATGCCATCTCAGTGTGAACTACTAAGTTCACACCCACTGGCACCTCAGCTCACACACACCCATAGTGTGCTGGTACCCTGAACCCTTCAGTGTCGTCACCCCTGGAGCCATGGCCAGTCCCAAAGAGCTGTAAAGTGTGTGCCCTTTCCCTCCAGGGCAATAGAAAAACTCTGGTCCTGTGGTGAGGAAACTTGAGCTCCTGTCCTGTCTTCATGGCTTATTAATGGGTGATGGGACCTTAGATACGTCATTTAACCTCTCTTGGATAAATGGGACTATATTACCTGTTGACTAGTGGTAAAGTGGATGCCAAAAGATAGCGGTTACCACTCCTGAGGCTTCTTTTAGGACTGCCATCTACAGCTCTGGTTCTTTCTGTACTGTTTCCTCAACCCACACAGCACTCCAAACTCTTAGGTTTGCTGCCACCTCTCTCTGGAAAAGCCTATTCTTAAGAAGGAGCTGATGTGCTAATTCATGCTAAGGTGTAAGTGACTATCTTAATGATCAGATAATTCCTGACTACTGTGGTAGGCACTAGGGAAGGAAAGATATGGGATGAATTGTAGTTGGCCCTTGCCCTCAAGGAGCTTATATTCAGGAAGACAGATGGGTGTAGAATTATCCAAAAGGAACGAAGGAGGTGAGATGGGGGAGGATGGGCTGAGGTTGGAACTCACTAGCCACTGGATCCCAGTCTGGAAACCTGGGTCATATTGTGGAGGGACAACTTTTAAATCCTGCCCTGAGGAAGAGGGTGTCTTTATTTATTTATTTATTTTTTTTATGAGGAAGATCAGCCCCAAGCTAACATCCATGCCAATCCTCCTCTTTTTTTTTGCTGAGGAAGACTGGCCCTGAGCTAACATCTGTTCCCAATCCTCCTCCTTTTTTCCCCTTTTTCTCCCCAAAGCCCCAGTAGATAGCTGTATGTCACAGTTGCACATGCTTCTAGTTGCTGTATGTGGGACGCTGCCTCAGCATGGCCGGACAAGTGGTGCGTCGGTGCACGCCCGGGGTCCAAACCCAGGCCGCCAGTAGCAGAGAGCACGCACTTAACCGCTAAGCCACGGGGCCAGCCCCTAGGGTGTCTTTATTTTGATCCTTCCCAGCATGAAGTTGCATTTAAAATTTTATTTTTATTTTTTAAACTGTTAAAATTGAGGTATAACTTACATATAATGATTGTATGCATTTTAACGGTCACTGAGCTGTAAAGGGAATTATGCACTGATTCTGGAGTGTTAGGCCTGGAGAGCAGATGTAGGAGATTCTCCTGACGGGGACCTAACCTAGCGTGCAAGCACACATGAGGCAGATCATGTCACTCTCCTGTTTTAAAACTGTCCAGTGCTCCCCACCCCCCATTATTCAGAACAAAGTCCAAAGTCCTTGCCTAGGGACCCTCCATAAGACCACCCCATGCCAGGTTCTGTGCTTGGCATTCTGGGAAATCCGGAGATGAGTGAAAACAGTCTGCGTTACTTGCCCACAAGGACCTCTCAAGGAGTCTTGTGGGGACATCAGACACGCCCACAAACAACTGTAGTGCAAGATGGACTGGACCAACGTCAGGGGGAAGGAACTAGAAGGGACTCAAAGGAGGGAGAGATCCTCCCTCTTGTTTGTGAAGTGGAATAAGAACCATTGCACGGTGGGGGGTGGGAGGAGGGTCCCATGAGTTAGGCCTGGAAAGGTGGGCAGGAGTCAGCAGGTAGAGAAGTGAGACGGGTGTTCCAGGTAGGGGAAGGGCATGAACGAGAGTCCAGGGCATGGCTTAGAGTAGGAGGAAGGACTGACTACCTGGCCACGAAGCCCTCGCAGTGGAGCTTTACACATAACCTCATTGAATTCTCACAGCTTTCCTGACAGGTAGCTGCTCTTTCCTCTATTTTTGGATGAGCAAACCGAGTCTCAGAGACATTAGCTTGCTCAGTGTTCCCAGCCACTAGCGTCAGAGCCTGGTTCACTTTGCTGTCCTAGAATCAAAACAGCCCTGGAAAGAAGGCAGGGCAGATTTAAATTCATTTTACAGATGAGAAAATAGGGGCTGAAGATGGAAAGAGACTGGCTCAAAGTCATAGGACTCCGACGAGCTTCTTCACCATTCTACCCAGGGGCCCTAGTCGATGTGGTAGTGTGGATACCCATGATCTTGCCTTTTTACTGAGGGCATACAAAGCCCTTTGCAGTTATGAAATTATATGCAAACCCATCTATGGGGGAGTGAAGTGCTAAGCATACAGAACAACAGCTTGGTGAGGAGGGATGGGTGGGCATCAATGCCCAGTTTGGCAGATGAAGAAAATGGGCCCAGAGAGGCCAAGACCTGTGCACATCACAGTCAGGTCTTGGGCTCCCTCTCCAGTGCTCCTCCCACAGCCCATCTTCCTGCCTTTCTGCATTGACTCCCTGAGAGGGTCCAAGAAGGAGTTGGCTCCTTGGGAGGGTGGTGTGGAGGCCCCAGTGCCCACGGAGCTGAGCCTGGCTGAGGGGACAGCACTGCAGGTAGGCTGCAGGGACACTGCCCTCCACCTGCCTCCTTCCCCACTCCCCTTTGCCCTACAGAAGACCAGCAGCTGCCAGGTGCCGGGTGCTCAGTCCCCAGTGGAGGCTCCCGCTCCGCCGCTGGGGCTGGAATTCGTGCGGTGTGTGTGGCAGCAGCTGCCTCTCCCGGTGCCCGCATCCTGTTAGCCTCTCTCTCCCCACACCCTGGCGTTTCCCCTGCCCTTCCCCTCCTCTGAAGCGAGAGGACCTCAGCATCAGGAATCTGAGGACCTGACTCTCAGAGCTGGGAAGGCCCTTGGGGGTTGTGTTCTCTATTGTCTCTTACTGGTTGTACAGTGTCCCTTCTTCAAAACCTTTGGTGGCCACCCAGGCTCCCATACAACCCTACAAATTAGGTATTTCTACTTCACTTTCAGAGTTACAAACTGAGGCCCAGACAGTGAAACGACCTGAGGTCACACAGCGAGCAGAGGTGGGACTTCCCCCACAGCTGTGTGACTCCAGTGCATTCTCCGCTCTTGGCCTCCTGGTGTGGAGTGTTTGCCATGTGCCATCTGCAGGGAGCACTTCCGGGGGCTGGGTCTGTCTTCCTGGGAGAGCCTGTTTTTCTCTGGCCTGGGGGCTGAACTGTCAAGCAGGACTTCCCTTCTAAACGTCCTTTGTCCCCAGCTGCCTGTTGCCCCACACCTTCTTGCAGAATTAGCTCATTAACTACAATGGTTTCCCCCTAGATGGGAGCCCCAAAGGCAGGGACAGGGTCTACTTATCCTGCTGCTCTGTGCAGCCTGGTACAGGGATGGGCCAGGGCCAGAGGGGACCATGGAGGACCAGCTGACCAAGGAACCCCACTTGCTGAAGTGGGAAGATGGGAAATGAGATCAAAGATGCCCACAGCATTCTTTGGTATAGCCCCAGGGCTACACAAAATCTAGAGGAGAATGGGGAATGCTTGGTGGTTCTCAAGTAGGGGAATGACACCATCAGTCCTGTGTTCAGAGTGTGCTGGTGAAGGTGTCGAGGATGGACTGGAAGGGAGAGATGGGGGGATCAGAGACCAGTGAGGAGATTGTTGGTGCTGGAGCCTGAACTCAGTCAACAGCAGCAGCCAGGGGTGAAGCTGGAGCCTATTCCAGAGGCAGTCCTGAGACACCCATGGGAGGTAGAAGGGATGGGCGTGGACTCAGGTCAAAAGCCACACCTTGGGGGGAGGGTTCTAGAACTTTCACTGGTCAAGTTGCGGGGGTAGGTCACAACAGTGGGCACAGGTAGGGGCCGCCCTGAGGCCAGTGCTCCGCAACCTCCTTCCCCGCTTACTCCAGCATCCTGAATCAGCGCTCGGGGAACCCTGGCAGCCAGTAGACTTTTGCCACTGGCTGGTAAAGGAAGAAGTTAAGAGCAGAACCCTCCTCCCTGCAGCTCTGCTGGGGCACTTGTGGGATGAGATGTTCTAGCCTGCACAGCCCAGGGTGGTGGTGCCCCCTTAATGTTTGCTGA